GAGTCTGTGTGGGCCCCAGAGCTGGTCTAGACGCAGAGGCTAGAGGAAAAATCCTCTGCGCCCATCTGGGATTGAACCCATTGTCCAGCCCGTAGCTAGTCACTATATGAATCCATTGTCCAGCCTGTAGCTAGTCACTATACTAATTGAGCTATCCAGACTCCTACTTAAGACAATTCTTACATAAATTGAAAATATTAAAGTAGCTTCTGAATGAACTTCACTGTATCAAAGTCTTCAAATAAAGAATTAAATGTAATACATCAATGAAGTGATTGACCTTTACATGGAAAAGCTCACAAAGCTCAGAGTTCTGTAAATTTCACTGAAAATAGATTTCGCTGTATTATGAAGAAATGTGTTTTTTTTACCAGCAGTGTCTGAATGGAAAGGAACTGTTTAATGCATTCACTGGTGACCAAAAGGGCAAGCTACTGCCTGAATCACTGCAGCGCTTATGCCCAGGGTTGCTGTACCAGCTGACTGACATGACTGCTGACTGCATTGTGGTGTCAGTGCCAGGTCCTGACAAACATGGAATGGATGTCAACATCGAAGCAGTGAATCATAGTGCTGGTGAGTAATTGCCACTCTCTCCTGAAATCATATTTGATACTTGAATAAATTGTGATTCAGCAATAATGTATAATTGTGCACAGTATGGACAAGTCACACTGAAGTCACATATTGGGTGCCAGGTGTGAATTTGGCACAAAGAAGCACATTATGAAGATTGTAAGAATATTTCCAAGAGGAAAGAAATTTGGCAACATTTATGACATAACTTTGAAGAGATTGTAAAGTTTTAACAGTTAGGTTAGTTTTAATTGTGGGTAAGTGGTTGCTTCAGGTGTTTTAAAAATGTGTGTCAAAATGATTTATGGATGACAGTGTGACATTCCAGTAATGCAGCATCATAAACACCAAGTCAGTGACATACAGCATAATATATGTTGTAACAGTAAACATTTAGATTCGCATGTTTTTACAAAGATGTGCAATTTCAGTCAAGGGGCTTTTATATGAATTTTGACATAAGACCTGAAGATGACTGATTTTTATTTGAAGTTCATTGTGCAGAAAATCAAAGAAATTTTGACATAAGACCTGAAAATGACTGATTTTTAGTTGAAGTTCATTGTGCAGAAAATCAAAGTGTGGATGTTTGTTTGAAGAATAAACAATGCTCAGACAATGAGACAGTGACCAGATAGCCAACTAAAAGGAAATGAATGTTTAAGGGTTATTTAAGGTGATTGTGCAACCAGCAAATGACATTGGAAGCATAAAATTTGGTTTGATGCTTATGCTGTGGTTTGATTTCACTGCATTCAAAAACATATTTATGTAATTAGCATCCCAATAAGTTCATATTTAAGACATTTGAGCAACAGAGATTTCTTTGTTCAACTACAGGACAGTTCTGTTTTTCTTGATCAGTTTCTGTGTCACATTGATTCGCTGATTACAGTGTGGCTGTATGCAACACTAAGCATTGTGGTGGTAAGCCTCTGTGGACTCCTAGGAGTTGCAGTAATTCCAGTTATGCAGCAGGTGTTCTACCAACAGCTGTTACAATTCTTGGTTGCCCTTGCTGTCGGCACACTCTGTGGGGATGCTCTCCTGCATCTACTGCCACATGTAAGTTATTACATCTGGAAGTAGTTATGATCAAAGTTTATTTGTGTGAGTTTATCTGAAACACAGATATTGATATCATTAAATTGACAATTTTCTCATGGATTTGATCACAGTTTATATCAAGAATTGATGAAAACTCATCCAAATGTGATTATCAAAAATCTGTAATACCCATTTTCTCAAAGTCACCATCATAAGCACTGAGATATCTGTCTCTTGGAGTCATGAAGTGATGGATTTGTTTTTTGTACAGTTCCATTGCCTTCTCATAAAAAAATGTGCAGTTTGCTGCACTATAATTATGATAAAAGTTGCAGTGATCTTTTTGATTCCATGGCATCAAGTCATTAGTGTCGATTTCTTATACAAGTCACATCTGCTGCAGTGCACAAGATGTTACAGTGGACTTCCTGAACATGATTGCGTGTGGTCAGAAGCCAACTTCTAGCAAGTTATTCTCTAAAGACCTGTATGCTACTGTTATATTTCTCTTACTCCCAAAATATTATTATAATACTGATTTGACAGAAAACCAAACAGGTAGTAGTAGATTGTTGTTTGTTTAACTGAAGGTATTAACTATGTATTTAATTGTAGAGACTGAGATGTCATTACAGTAGCTGATATGAACAAGATATTTTTTATCTCTGAGCCATGCCCACTCATTGAACATGTTCACTGTCACTTGATGCTCATATGTTAGATGGCTCCTGCTCCAGGTGCTGATAACTTATGTGCATGTTGTGGTGTTCTAAGTGGCCTCGCCTGTCTGAACTGATCAGCACTGTAATTTAGTTTCTACTCATTACAGTGAAACTCAGATTGACATTCAAGTTTCATGCACATTAATTTATTTTTTATGTCAGTAATTTTCTAAAGATAGAAATCATTGGAGATAAAGTTGATGATCCTTGTATTCCAAATTTAGGTTCTTTGTGACCAAATTGATCACACAGCACTGCAGTTAACACTGTCAGTTTATTTAATGACTATCAGTAGCTCATAGTATATGGCATCAAATGATAGGATGATTAATGAATAATGAAAGTGAAATGATATTGAAGAAGAAGCAGTTGGCCTTATTTTGCCTGGAGGTACTAATGAAGAGCATTAGAAATCTCATTTAGAATTTGCTGGTCTCTGGGCTGAAATGTGAACCACAGACCTTCCAGATATGAAGCAGGAGTGCCTATCACTCCACAGTGATATTCTATTAGAAACATCAAGCAATCGTGACACAATCGTCCAACCACTTCTATCACCATTATATTTTACAATAAATCACGAACTAGGATTTATTTACAATAAATTCTAGTTAGTGATAAAAATGGCTAGAAAGTTTTGTGGTGGTTACATGCAACTACACAGTATGAAGAATATAGGTGGCGACTGACTTGTAACATTTGCCTGTAATATAACATGTTACAAATCGAGCATCACACAAGTGAAGACAGCGAACAGAGCCGCTCGTGCTCGCAGGCGCTCCATCGTGTTGTCAGTTTTTTCGCGAATCCCTTTGAGTGTTACATTACAAGTCAGTCAGTCAAGCGGCGTCATAACGAGCATTACCTGTATGTTGCCTTTCAATACTCCAACAATTGCTGCACTGACTTCTTTGACTATGACTCCTATAAGCCCTTCTGAAACGAGTGTCTCTTTTTCCCACTACTGGCCCAATTAAGTTAATCAGATGCTCAAAATCTGTGGGAGACATCCTCACAAAGTTTTTGTATTGGCCTGTGAATTCTTGATTTCATAGAATACTCATTAGATTCAATCCGCTGTTTTCATTTGTTTGTTTGTTATCCAAACACGTTTTCTTCTCTTCTTTAAATAACAGTAGCGTATTAAAAGGAAAGCAGATAACACAACGTCTGTGTCCGACATATTGAATGAAATGAAGTGGAGCACACACGAGCACAGTCGAGCCGAGCGTTCAAAACGAGCATTCGATGCGCCTCACCAGTTGTGGTGTAATGTAACATGCTCGCCGCAAATGTTACATTACGAGTAAATGTTACAAGTCAGTCACCACCTTATGAAGAACATCACTCATTCCCTCTCTCTCTCTCCCTGCGTGGCTCTACAATCCTTGATGGACCTTGGCCTCTTCATCCTCACACATGGAGGTTTCTTAATCTATTTAGACTTTGGTGGGACTATTTGGATGAGTGATCAACCCATTGCAAGGATAGCACAACACACAAAGGTGCCTTGAGTGAGATTTGAACTGGGACACAGAGCCATCAAGGCCCGCACCTTAGACCATATGACCATTGTGACTGGCATGAAGAACATATACAATGCTAAAGTAAATTTGGCAATTCTGGTGACATGAAAAGCAATAGTGAATTATAGGATGAAAGTACTATTCTACAAGAAGTGCACTTTATATATTTTATGATTCTTGTATTCAGCACCTGTTGTCTCTATACTCAGGTCCAACAGTGAAACACATGCCACTTAACAAAAAATTATCTGCTGGCCAAGTGCAAAGGAAATTAAAATGGTAAGATTTTGAAGAAATGCTGCAAGTGTACAATGAAAAAGGAGAAATAAAGATTCTGTTTATTGCTGTCCCCAGTGCTCCATAAATCCTGGGGATTTTTTTGGAACCAAGGTTTGGACAGTGCCATGTAGAAAATATTTTAAGTTGTGGCTAACTTTTGAAATGAAGGTGATCTTTATTCTAATTCAACTTTAACAATGAATTGATATTCTAGTTAGCCTGATTTTATTGTTTGCCAACAATGGGAACTATTTTTGCATTTTTATGTGATTATTCAGTATTTTGAACCCTGTAAGTTAATTAAATGTTTACTAGCATGGAAAATGACCCTCATTTATCAGTGTCATTTACACATATGTGCATCATGAAACATTCTTAAAAGGTTGGAAAAAAGTTGAGACTATAATGGAACAACTATCATTAGGTGCATTATATCTCACACAAAACCTTAGGGCCATTCATGTACTTAGTTAAGTTGGTAGTGAACATGTTAACTAAAACTAAAAATATTGGAAAAGATAACAGACTCTTGCTGTTTAAGTTTGCTTTGCTGTGAGAAATGTCATTCTTGGTGTAGGCAATGATGGGCGAACCACATTCTCACTCATATTCACATACACATACTCACCATGGCAGCCAACATGACAGCTTCGCATCTGCAGAAGATGAACATGACCTGAGCATGTGGAAGGGTCTAGTGGCAGCCCTGGGTCTAGTGTTCTTCTTCTTCACAGAAAAGTGTCTCACATTGGTGGGAGAGTGGAGGAAACAGCGTCAACGCAGAAGGAAGGTTGGTACTGTTGCTTTATCCTTATCCCACCCTAAACACTTTAAGAATGTTCTTAATGAATTGTTCCTGGTCTTGGTGCTCAAAGTTGTTTTTTTTCTTTCTGCCTTTGAGTGATGTCTGTTGGAGAGTAAACTAACTTCTTGGTGTTTTGATGGTTCGTAGATTATATGCAGGCAGTGTGTCTCACATGTAAGGTTCAATTTTTGAGTTCCCTTCAAATAGAAAAATGTAAAACTACTATTTTTAACAGTGGGATGAAATCAGGCGTTACAGTAAGTTTGAATACAATCGAAAGAGGATTAAACATCTAAAGGAAAGCATCTATGTGCCCAACATACATTCATTGAAACCCTGATATGATTGTTAGAGTATGTAGTATCCACCATTAAATATCACTTAATACTTTTGATGTAAAATTATATTTTATGCTATGTCAATTTTTCACACCCATTTTTTGGATCCATGTCTTGATAATATCCTCATTAGCTGTGTTTACATGGTAAAATCTTACCTAAAATACTATTAACAACTCTTGATCTTTTATTCTTCCTGTCCTCATCACACATTTATCCTGTTTTGTGATTCATTGGCTATTATTTTTCTTACGTTTGCAATTTTTTCTTTATATTTTTAGTCACTATTTTTTCTTGTTTTTCCATTTAATTTCTGCCCTTTGAAATGTTATTTCATGCCTTCATCTTTATATGCAAGAAATAAGGAAGATCTTAACATGTAAAGGCAATTGAGTATGATAATTTAATGGTACATTTTATAATGTAGTGACTTTATAAAATGTTATGACATGGGCACCTGAAGATGTCTGAAGTAAATAAAATAAGTTTTTAAACTTTCATGTATATTTAGATGAGTGATTAATTTGTTTACATGTAACTATTTGAAATATTTAAGTATTTTGGCAGAATTTGTCTCAGCATTACACATATTTAAATAATATATCTAAAATTTACATTCATGAAATCTTTTGTTTTTGGTGCTGTATGGAAACTATGGGCCAGCCATATTCTTTGCTTAGTGAGTCTACAGAATTTTGTTGAATAATGTGTTTCATGTGCAGGTTCCATCAAGAGTCCGTGTGATGCGGGATGCAGACAATGTGGGTAATACTTCAGTGGGTGAAAAGCTGTGCAAACATAAATACAGTTCATACCCATATTGCTATGGTGAGATTACAACAGAGATGTCAGGTGAGGCATTTGAAACACTAGATGTTGTCATAGAGAAATGGGCATTGAAGTTAATGTTATAGTGTTACTGCTGGAAAAGAGCAGTTAGTAACCTGTCTAAATCAGAGTCAGTAATTGTGCTCAGCATTCCACCTCTACATTACTCTTAATAACTTTGCCATTCACAGGCACATGGCAGCATGTTGTATGTATACATTGCTACATTCATTACATCTGTCAGTCTTTCTCACAGAATTATTACATGTCTTTTAGGACTCCTGGAGAATGGAAATGCAGATTTTCTATTGAAATCTGAACAGGTATAGCCTGATAATATTGATTGTGATGCCAGACAAAACATACTGCAATCGTTTTAAAACTCAGTTGAAATACATGTACCAACTGCTTTAACAATCAGTAACTGCATTTTGCCTACAAATTGTATTTATGGGTTTCATATGATTCTAAAAGTAATTAGTGATCATTTTCTTAAATGGCATTAATCAGTTGATCTTTGTAATGAACATTGTGTTTTCTTTGAGGTAAGAACTGAATTTGTTCTGATTGTCTTCTGCTTCAGAGGTTAAGGCAAATCTCAATAAATGCCACTCATTTTATAACTTTATTTTTCAGAAGTCCAGATTTTGTAAAATGATCATTACTTATCTGTTTTAAATGTTTTTACATAAGTAACTATCTGTATAAGTGGTGTACAAGTGAACAGAAGCTTTTAAGCAATTGGGGACCAACTGTGTTGAATGAATTTAACTAAAGGTAAAATTCTTGAGGAATATATAATTTTGGTTTTGAGTAAAATTGCTGAAGTTAACAGGCATTTTGAGAGCTGCTGTTCATATGAAAGTGATTCTGTATCTGCAACAAATTGTACATATATATTACATATTTTTAATTTTTCACTTAAGAACATATCTGCCATTTTGGATTATGGTAAGATAAGAGATATGTGTGTCAAATTGTGAATGCATATTAGCTATCTACCTCTTACATATAATATACTTGGGTGATGTGAAATATCCCATTATGTACTGCAATATTGTTGCCATGGAATGAAATTTATTAATGTCATAATTCATAGCAGTATTAAGTGATTACTCTATACCGTCACAGTGGCCGCGCGGTATGAGGCGTAGGCATTGTGCCACTCGGACACTGGTACCGTGGGTTCGAATCCCACTCAAGCCATGGATGTTTTTCTGTGTTGTGTTGTCCTGTGTACAGGTAGAGGCCTTGCGACGGGTCGATCCCTCGTCCAAGGAGTCCTACCGAATGTCTAAATATATTTAGAAAACCTCCAAAAATAGAGGAAAAAAGCAGACCCTGCCAAAGTGGGACAAATGCTAAAGAAGAAAAAAATTTAAGTGATTACTCTAGAATAAGAATCTTAAAAATAAAGCACCTGTTGTGGCATATAGAATATATTACTGTATATTACACATAAAGTGTGTGGCATATGAAAATATGTTCTTAAGATACAACTTTCTAGTGATGTAAACCAGTCAGTCTTCAGATGCTCAGTTGCTACAGTGATTCATATGACATTATACTGACAATTTGTATTTTTATTGGACTGTTCTCATGAATATAGGGAGTATTTCTTTATTTCTCTGATATTTGTTGTGATATAAGAAATGATATATCTTTCCAGATGATCATCATCATCGTAATCCTCAGTATGAGCAGAAGCATAACCACACTCACAGTTCTCCTGCACTAGACACAACACAAGTGACAACTTCAGGTTCAATAGAAGACACCCACCCAGATGGTCTGGATGAACTGCGACCCATAGCTACAACGTGTAACTCTATGGCTGCAGGTCCAGACAGCGAACATGGGACAGACGTGAATCCCAGTGAAGCAGAGAGCTACACAGTCATTATCAGGTATGATGCTACTAGGGGCTTGGTGATCTGAGAAGTTAATTACTGGCATGCATAAGAGGATGATGGTGTGAGACCATTTTATACGCATTCCCCAATATATATGTATGAACAATACTTCATATGTCAGATTGAGCAGATAAATTCCACTACTCCATTACACACTGCTGCATGATTGTTTCTGCCTATAGAAGGTCTTGCTTGGTTGCTGGTGCCATAACAGTACCTTATTAGGCAGGTTGTGACAGGTTGGAGTAGACACTGAACATAGTAACCTGTTGAAATAAAATTATTATTAAATACACAAGTTCATGTATATATTTTAAATTAGGTGAGGGGCAGAGAGCAGGCGTGATGGAATGGGAGAGAGCCATTGTTAGATGTTTCAAACAGACTGACAAGCTAGTGATATAAGTTATTGTTACTGTCGTCATCATCATCATCATTATTATCATTAATGGAATATGTTTACTGGGTGTGGGAGTGAATTAATGTATTATTAGAGTCTATCAAGAGAACATTTTCTCTGAAAGAATGATGGGCAGAGGAAAATTCCTTGTGCACATTGGCTTATTTTCTGTCTCAGGGAGCATGAGAACAAACATCATGGTCACTCACACACACATGGCCATGTACATTCACCTCCTGACACGCTGAGCTCTGTTGCGTGGATGGTGGTGATGGGAGATGGACTCCATAATTTCACAGATGGAATGGCCATTGGAGCTGCATTTGCTGCCAACATTGCAGGTGGTTTCTCTACTGCGGTTGCTGTGTTCTGCCATGAACTGCCACACGAGTTGGGTGGGTATCTGTGTATGATATATTAAGTGCATTAAAATTATAAAATCTCCATGTTTCTGTTAAATCATCTCTGTTTAATGTTTATTGCTCATTTAACATTCTCCCCATGCTATACTTAGCACAAAATGTTATTGGTAGTACATAAGTTAGATGCATTTCACATAGTGTAAAATGGCATCTTTTTCTTTACAAGATTGTAATGTTGTCAGAAGGTTGTTTCTTCTGATCCCATTGATATTTGTTGTATTTGGACAATTTAATTTTACTAGAAAATTACCCATCAAGAATGACTGGAAAATTCAATGCGTTAGGTATGTATACTCATAAATATTATGCCATAAGACACAAAATCCCTTTGTAATGGCAGTGATTATAATAACACACACATCATAAATATTATCTTGTAAGGCTCAAGGGGAGTTAAAACGAGAAGCTGAGAATATGGAAAACTGGAGAGCTCTTTTTGGGCAGAACAATGGACCTGTCGTCAGACAGAACACTAAATAATAATAATAAGGCTCAAGGTCCTTTAGCAGCAAATGATAACCAACCAGCCAACACATACATATTATATAGATAGATATTTGAATATATTTTCTTGATCCATTTAACTATGGGTTTTTAAAAGTTTGAGTACATAATTCTGCTGCAGGTGACTTTGCAGTACTACTGAAGGCAGGGATGAGTGCAAAACAGGCTGTATTCTACAACCTTCTGTCCTCTATCTTGTGTCTTCTTGGTATGGTGTTGGGAGTATTCTTGGGGGAGTCTGAAACTGCCACTGCATGGGTGTTTGCTGCAGCTGCAGGCATGTTCCTTTATATAGCACTTGTGGATATGGTAAGTACCAGTAGATCATATTGTCTTTGTAATGTAAGGCATTATTTTCACACTAAAATCATTTATAGATGGAGAACAAATAATGCCACATACTGAAACTATGGGAGTAAATATGCTACAGTTATGTTACTAATACTAAAAATATGGTCCAAAATTTCAAAACTACAACATATTATTGAATCCTATTCTGAGCCAGTCCAGTGAATTTCAAATCCCGTTTTCGAAGATCTGTTTTAAAATTATCTTTCCAGCTATATCTTCTGAGAAGTTTCTCCCAAAAAATATATGTGCATTTGTTATTTTTTCCATCTGAGTTACATTCTCAGCCCACCATAATCTTATTGATTTAAGATACCAATAATAAATGGTGATTTGAAAAATCATTAAGTTTGTTTCATTTATTAAGAGTGCTTGCCAATAGCAAAAGACCTGTAACAGGCAAACATTGATAATGTATGGAATAGACGTTACAATTAATAACAAATAAAACAAAAAGAAACTTAAAAGACTAAAACAAAACATGTTCCTAAAAAAAAAGAATGTGTTATCAAGAGAGAGAGTACCTTTACTAAAAGAATGACTAGAATTAGCATATACTACGAGCTGAAGTCTTAACTATACTGCTCACACTGAAGGTGGAAAAATCTCTAGTTTGCTGTTTAGATGACAGATATCAACAGTGTTCATAAAGCAGTGACAGTTAATTTTGTCCTTGTAAACATTAATACATAAGCATTGAGATGTTAGAGTATGGAATAGAGTACAGGCAACTCTCAGTTTATGAACGAGTTCCGTTCCAAGACGTTCGTTACAAGTTTTTGTTCGTTATGTGTATCTTACATTCCTGAGCTTTTACAATACATATCGAATACATTAGCAGCCATTTTAAAGCATTAAAACCATGTACTAATTATCATATAATAATTTTCTGGTAATTATTGTAAAAATACATTTTTAAAAGTTTATTTATTTAAATCTTACAATTATGTTCACTATACATTTGGCATTTCGTTTTATAAGGAACTCCATCTATTGGTGACTAAGAAATTTTGACTGAATTGTGACGTTCGTTATAGCGAATGTTCGTAAACCGAGAGTTGCCTGTATTCTGAAATTTAAGCATTTTAAAATATAAGTCCTGAACCAAGTACCACTGGATTGACATAAATTAAGGAAAGAAAGACCAGAAGTAAGGACAAAGGTGACTGGTTCTGTCCTTGCCAGGAAAGTTACAACAGTGGTAAAAGCAGAAATCTGTAGATGAGTTGATTCTGCCTCAACTGGTACCATGAAAACTGCCAGTCAGTTGCTTCAAATAATCCACCTGCTGATTTAATGTGTGTAATGAGTGTGGAAGTCGCCCTCGGTGGGCTAGTGGTTAGCGTGCTCGCCACTGGACCCAAGGTTCATGGGTTCAATCCTGGCCAAGGTCGATGAATTTTTAAGGGTGATAAAAATCTGTAGCACATCTTCCTTTGGGGGGGGGGGGGGGGGGGTAAAGGGGGGGTGTTGTAGATTTATGACATGTAAAAGAACCTTATGAGCATCATATGAGATGTTTCGTAAGCAAAATTCAGCGGCCATTTCTCACCCAAGTCTCCTGATTGACTGCTAGATGGCTCTGGCAGTGAAATCAGGATTGAGTAGAAATTGTGCAGAGTCGGTGGGCTGGTTACTCACTACTCATAAATGCACATTTCAAGACCAAGAAACCTCAGAAAAGGAGGTGGCAAAAACCCACAACAGGGTTATAGAGCCAAGAAACAACAACGAGTGTGGAAACATTGAAGCAACTGCAATTGTGGCATCATGTCTTGAACCTATATTTTGTATGATTTCTGTAATTGGTGTAAACAAAAGTTAAATACTTTACAAGATTTGGCATTGGTTAGCATAGATATGGTATAGATCCTGAGTTTGCACTGAAGTCTATCTTTATTTGCAGATACCAGAGCTAACAACATCCCACTCAAAGGAAGGGGGTTCTCTGTGCCAATGTCTGCTGCAGTGTGTTGGTTTGTTGTCAGGGATTGGTATCATGCTGCTCATTGCTACATATGAACATGACTTGAAGATGGTCTTTGCGGACAACTAATGAAATATCAATGTATGTGTACAATAATATTGTCCGTGGAGGAAAGACTGTATAGGTAACTTTTATATGTACAGATGAAACAGCCCATACTAGTTACATCGTTACTTCCATTTCTTCAAATTGGCAGTTAATGTTTTTGTACAGTAGCCATCAGACTGAAATAATTATTTTTTTAGCTATTATATGAACTCTTTTCCATATTCTTATCACAGACAGTAATCAGCTATTCTACTTATATGTTATAGTATTGTCCTCCAGAATCCAATAACCTTCATCAAGGGCTCAGCAGTAATGTTTCATTAGCCAAGTTGTATTACAATGACAGCCTATCTCTAAATGTTATTGACATTGGTGTTGAATTACTAATTTCAGTTTTTTGACGTTTTCAGTCATGCTTTCTCAAAAAACCACTACGTTTTGGGAGATGTCTTTACCCCATCCTCAGGTGTACCTACATAGTCAGGCCTGTTAGAAGGAGCTAATCTCCACAGATTGAGATTAGTTCCTTCTAACGGGCCTGACTGTGTAGATCACCTGAGGATGGGGGAATAGCCAGCTCCCAAACTGTAGTGGTTTTTTGAGGAAACATAATGGTGATTGAAGAAGTCCAAAAAATTGAAATTAGTAATTGCAGTCATTTTTTGGTGTTTTATTTATTATATGGTACATTCCTGGAAAGAAAGATTTTGCTACTACATACTGTCCTTGGACTAAAGAAACATGTATTTAACATATAAGGCTTTTAGTTTTATGGTTCTTTTTCAGTGACATTCAGCTACATACTTAAACCGACTACAGGCTTCTTTCAAGTCCCATTTTGGTTATATAATGGAAGTGTAACTGGTACAGATCTGATCAGTCAAATATCATCCAAGTTAGTCAAAGAAAGTGAAGTCCTGTCTTCACATTTAGCAGTAAATGTCATTAGTATCTGTAAAACTTGGCAAGGTTTGACATGAAAATTAGTTGAGAAATAAGTAACATTTTTCAGAGAAAGGTCCACAGATCAAAGGATAGTATCCAGTACTGCATCCAAACTGAGAAATGTTTGAATGAAGAGAAGACATTAAAAATTATAAATTGACTATGTGCACATAATACTACATGTCTTATAAATATGGCACAGGCATTAAGATGTGGACAAAATTTCTTAAAATGACTGTTTTGGATAAACTGCTGGTTAGGTTTAACATGTTTCTGAAGTATGATATTTTGAGATCAGTAAAGATTCATGTACAGATCCAGTAACTGTCAAAAGAACTCAGAGTCACATTACTTTTCCAAGAACTTTTCTTGCATAAAAGTAATCTGCATATATGATGCAACCAAACATTGATTTTGATTTTGCCATTTCGATTGTGGTCTTCTGGATTATGAAGCTATGTGGTCTTGTGTGTTGTTACTAACATTTTGGAGGAATATTTCTTCCATGTTCAGAATAGAAGCTGTAGGTGATGAGTTCCTCCACAGCATCTTAATCTAGAAAACCACAAACTAAATTTTTACCACCTGATAACCTCAAATCTTACATTAATTTAGCCAGTAGTACAGGCAGAAAGATTGGAAAGCAAAGTAAAGAATTGAGATTTAAGACAATTAAATTGGTTGCTGTTTTCAAATATGGGGTGCATGTCTCATGTTTCATTAAATTAATTTCTTCTTAGTACATTTTTAAGGTTTTCGTTCTTATGTTTCCTAAATTTTGTCCTACAATCACAGCAGATAATATTCTTTTACTTTGAAATGTATATCCAGACTGAAAAAGCCATTTATCATTGTTGATAAACATTTTTCATTACCAGTGTTAATATGTATTAGAGATGTTCTCACTCACAAAACATAGTCAACCCAATACAAAAAGGAATTTTAAATGGTATTCATTCTGAAGTTACGTTTATTGGCTTAACTCATGTCAGTACCTTATGTATGTACATACTGTGCAGTATTTTGACATTTTTGTCAGTAGCACTATATTTCATTGATATCCTGGAATAGAAAATACACACCCATGTGAGATTTGAAGAGCATGTGAATAAATAAAATGTAAACAAAACAAATTAGACATTAAAAATGTGTATACCAGTGTACTCATTTTTATTCCACATCTGCATTTAGCATGTTACATAGATTGATTTTACAATGGGCATCATTTATTTAACCTTTAACCTCAGTCTCAAGCTTTACATGAGTAACACTAAAGTAATATACATTGCATGCCTTAAAAGTTCGACTTCCACCTTTGTTCTGCTGCTGACGAGATACTAACATGTACTTAGTTTTTTTGAATTTACTTCTAGCCCCACCTTTCTACTAGCTTCTAGTAAAACTTCAGTGTTCCTCTTTATTGTATTTATATCATCACCCAATAAATTAACATCATCAGAAGATGCCAATAGCTTATGTGTCCCGTTCAATTGCGAACCCTCCTGCCTATCTTGGACTTTCCTGATGGCATATTCTATTACAAAGTTAAAAGAGCAATGGAGACAAAACATCTCCTTGTTTCAGACCACTCTTCATGAAAAATGAGTCAGACAAATATTTACCTAAACGAATTTTGCTACAGGTTTCATTTAAGCCCATTTTTATTAGACTTACTAGCTTCTTTGGTATTCCAGATTCAATGAGAATATTGTAAAACACTTCTCTCTTAACAGTCATAGACTTTTCTGAAATCTATAAACAATTTATGTACGGTCTCACTGTACTTCCATTTTTCTCTAGTATCTGACATGCTGAAGATCTAAATCTATTTTTGATCTGTTACGTCAGAACCCACACTGATGATCCCCAATAATTTCATTCCCATATGGAGTTAATCTCGCCAGAAGAATGTTTGATGGAATTTTGTATGAGGTTGATAGTAGAGAAATTCCTCAGTAATTACCATACTGTCTTGTCCCCTTTCTTCTGAATAGGAATAATTATGGATTCCTTCCATTGTTGTGGCATCTCTTTCTTATCCCAAATTAACAGTATAAGCTTATGGATCTTCGTATGCAACTTTTTGCCACCTGCTTTAATTAATTCTGCTGGAATTTGATCAATACCTGGAGATTTATAACTTTTCAATGGCTAGTTCAACTTCATCTAAACTAGATTCTGGCACCAACAGTTCAGCCATATGTATATTAATCTGTCTAACATCATCAATCCCATGAACATTTAAGAGCTGGTTAAAGAATTTTTTCCACCTATTCAAAATTTGATTGGATCTGCAAGTAAATTGCCAAATTAGTCTGAGGTTGATATCCTTTCTTAAAACCATTTATGCCTCTATACAGATGTCTAATATTTTTGTCCTTACTGTTTGTCTCAAGCTTAATAATTTTGCCTTTCAGATATTCCCTTTTCTTATTCCTAAAGGTTCTACTAACTTCATGTCTCATGTTACATAGATTATCCATATTTGTTTTGAGTCCTGCAACCATTGAAATTTTGTTTGCTTCCTTCGATCTATTAATTTTGAACATTCTTTATCAAACCATGGTTTATTTTGCTTTCTCCTGTAGTATCCTAGTTTCTCTTTGGTTGAAAATTTGGTTCAGTTTCTGACATTTTCCCCTCCCTGTTGATATCCATACTTTCATCATTTTTATCTGTCTCTAAAATTTGAAACCTATTAGAAACTTCAAATTGATATTGCTCCTTTACCTCTCAATCATTTAATTTTCTGAAATCAAATCTTTCTGTGTAAAATTTTCCTTAGTTCATCTACTTACTTACAACCTCTCCCTCACTTTTGCCACTACCAAATAATGGTCAGGAAATCCAAAGGTTCATTACTGTATTCACAAGAGCCCACCACTGAGCCAGCTTAATTCAGTCAACACCTTCAGATCCATATTAATATTATCCTCCCATCTACACCTGTATCTCCCAAATGGTAGCATACATTTCATTGTTTTAATCTCTAAGTTTTTAAGTACTTCATTTATGCTACAAGTCCATCCCATCAAATCCTGCTTGACTTGACCACCCCAATAATATATGGCGAAGAGTACAAATTATAACATTATAAATGTTTCCTTTTAAGGCTTGCCCCAAGTGCCACATGTTTTAAATTTTGAAATAATTTTACAGTAAACAAAATATGAAAATATTTATTAGCAAAATTTATTCAAAGTCTACAAATAAGTTAATTTATAAGACAATGTTTATTGTTTTAGTACAAATTTTCATTCAACTTGAAGCAGTAAAGTTTAATTTTACAAACAACTATGTACTGTTGGCTACCATGTCAGTTTCACTGTTTGTTATTACTTCAGTTTCACCAACTGTCATATCATCCACATCACACTCTCCTTTACTTTCTTGAGCTTTCTGTGCTGCACCATCCATAGTCTTATCAATGATGGATGACAATTCACCAATTTTTCCTGGATCATTTATGTTCTGTTTGGGTGTCATGTGGTTGCCAAACTGATGTGCATCTTGGGTGGATGATGATGACATTCTGCTAATTTCAACTTCTGAATCATTCTCATGAGAAAGTGAGGTTTCCATAGCTTCCTCTCCTCCACTGTCATCAATCTGCAATCATTTATCAGTGAATCTAATTTTTCATCCTAAATATTTTGAGTTTGAGAGGAAAATTTGTAAACTGAAAAATTGCCATTAATTTCAATGTAAACAATTTTTACTGGTTCTGAAGTCTCAGATAAATCACCCAATAATTTTCCCATGTGTTTGAATACTATACAATCATAAAAATACAAACTTATTACCTATTTAACCCTGCAGAGTACTACTGGTGTTAAATCAAGTGTTTACATTGAACAGCAGTTACTGTAGTTATGGTGTTGTTGACAGCATTCATGACTTATGAAGCTGATATTTGGCCCTTGGGCAAAAGTTGGTTCTCTGTTGTAGTGAAAACAATGTTCATAAATTGAAAAATAGGCAAACTTTACATGATTCATTTCAGCAATAATTCATAAATCAGAAGTTATTTGAGGGATAGGTGCACTTACATTTAGATATGAACCTAATTTTACCTTCAGACCCAAGTTAGCTGCTGGCAGTGGAGGAGGTGGTAGGGGAAGGTTGGTATGATACACACATGACGCTCCTTCCAAGATATTAGGTACTGGTTCTCGACACACAAAGTCTGCTCTCCGACAACCACAAGGGCGAAAGAGGACTTGGTGGGTGTCCTGGAAGAATAATGCTAAATGTCAGGCAGGGTCATTTCATTCACCATATTAACATTCTGAAGTTTGCAAGCCTCACTTATTCTGCACATCCAGATCTTCAGTTTGAATACATGAGTCTGATAGCATTCAGTACACCTATGTGATATAATGCTGCTTTAACATGAATCTCACAATAAACTCCATGACTTAACTGTATTTTGTCTCTTGTAAACAAGTTAAAGTTGCTGAAGTGTTAAAGGCACCCCTGTTCCTGTTTTTATCACCTTCCAAAATTGTGAATCTTTCCCATTCATGCACGAGCCTCCGAATGTAACTGCATACAAGCTGTTTCTAACCTTCTGGAATCCCACAGAGTCCCTCATTAGTGAAAAAAGATGGAAAGTGCTAGGAGGAAAAGTCTTAACTATAAGGAGAATGTAGAAGAACTTCCCACACCATTTCCTCAGAACTATGTTGAAGAATACAGGTCTCAGTATGGCAAATGACTGCATCAAAGACGAAGTACACCACTGGCATCAAGAATTGACTTCTTGATTATTACAGTTACTGGTGAATTTTAAAGATGGAATCTCCCTCAGCAATGAGAAACATCGTGACACAGTACTGTCCTATCATAAATCTGTCTGTTTTTTATCATTTTGGATAACAATAAAAATTTAATGCTAAATTCCATATGTTCACTATTATAAGCCACATATATGTAACATGTCATATTCTGTCTTGAAACTTTATTCGAAGAAACACAGAAAACAGTCCTAGAATTTAATTACAGCCCTCTTACCACAGTAAAATGCACATAATCCAAACTTTTACTATCATGACATACTAAAATGTAGTGTGCTCCAAAAGATGTTTAATTCAAATAGTGACCTACAAACAGGATTCAATGCAATTTAAATTCCTATAATTTTATGCAAACTGCCAAGTTTTGGCTGCAAAGGAAACTGGTGAAAACTACTTTTACAAACCCATCTCTCAGGGGAAGTGAAAGTCAGTTTTCTTTTAGCTGCATATGAAGACTAGTAAGAATAATAACATCAGTCCCATGTCATCTTAAAGACTACAAGACAAAGTATAAAATGACAGACAAACAGGAGAAGTGCTGACAACTAAACAGTCATGGGGAAACAGCAGAAATTTTTACCAACACAAATCATGCATGATACTATAATATATAAATAAATATTATAACAAATAAGTAAACTTTTATTGTCTGTGCACTATAACTCATGTATAACAACATTATTTTTTATGTAAAAAAGGAGCCACTTCCCCCTCTTTAAATATATGTTTTGTGTATACACACACACACTAATATGCATGACTGAGTAACCTAAGCATCACATTAGCATACTGTTAACCTGCTGAAGTCCAGCTGACAGCCTCATACTATGCAGGGTTTAAATCTCCTACTCCCATGTGACAAAAGTTAACATTTTTGAGCAATCTTGTCAAAATTCTGCATGTGATTCTTGTTTCTCTTACATAAGCTCATCACATCTCCCTTAACTTGTCTTGTAAATATTCTCACCTCAAGGATATGCTTCAGGCAGTGTTTCGCGACTGGCAGTGTGCGTTCTCCACATTTCACACCACCTTCAGTGAAGACGCACTTGGCTGTTGGTGCTGGCCGAATATTGACACCCTCAGTAGCGTGAGCTCTCCGTTCCAAGGCTTTCTTGTGAAGCACTGCTTCAACTCCACTTCTCTTATGATAGTGGTTCAGTGAGCGCAACTTCTCATACAATTTCTGTTCTCGCACAGACTCTCGACTCTGGTTGTAGATGCTTGCTGCAATACAACTCTGTGTTTATAACTATACAGACCCTACTTTACTGTTCACAGATGGCGAGGCAGTTTTACTCATTTACCTGCCACTATTACAAATGACAAAACAACTATGTGTATGCACTAATATGACAAAATGAGCATTTGTGCCATAAACTTGATTCTACAAAGTACCTGAGTTTATGCCTATCACCATTTAGAAAAAATATGTGTTCCAATAAGCAAAATATGAATATAATACCATATTTATCTATGTACAGGTAACATATACACTACCTGATCAAAAGTATCCGGACACCTACGCGAAACTTTCCTCTAAGTGTCCCTCGGATTTACTGCCCAGTAGTGGACATTAATACGGGATGGGCCCACCCTTGGCATTTATTACAGCTCTAACTCTGTATGGGAGACTGTCTACCAGGTGTTAGAACGTCGCCAGGGGAATGGCCGACCATTCTTCCTGCAACGCTGTAGCAAGCGTAGTTAGTGATGTGGGTCATTGGGGTCTGGCGCGCAGTCGCCTTTCTAGTTCATCCCAGAGGTGTTCAATAGGATTTAGATCGGGGCTCTGGGCTGACCAGTCCATTTCCGGAACCTTATTGTCCACAAACCACTCACGAAAAGACCCTGCTTTATGGCAGGGTGCATTGTCATGCTGAAACACACAGTTATCATCTCCGAATTGGTCTTCTACAGTAGACAACATGCAGCTGGTCAAAATGTCCTTATATCCTTCCGCCTTTAACGTGCTCTGTAGTATTACGAGAGGACCAAGTCCCTTCCATGAAAAACACCCCCACACTGTCACCCCACCTCCGCCAAATTTCACTGTGGGCACTATACAGGCCGGCATGTAGCGTTTACCTAGCATTCGCCACACCCAAACCCTCCCATCGGATTGCCACATGGTATAGCGTGATTCATCACTCCAAATCATGCGTCTCCAGTCGTCCACAGCCCAGTGGCGGCGCTCTTTATACCACTGAAAGCGGCTTGCTTACTGATGTGGCAACCAATAACCATACCACGTTCAAAGTCACTGAGCTCCCTTACTCCACCCATTCTGTCGGTATCGCGTAGCGCTGAACAAATCGAGACCTCTGCCTCCTTTTATAGCAGCAGCGGCGGTCGTAGTGATATCTAGGATCAAGTTTACGTTTACAGAGGGGTGTCCGGATACTTTTGATCAGACAGTGTATTTTAGGGTAGAAAATACTTCTACAATAACTTTCTGCAAAATGTTGCAGTACAATTTTGTTATGCTGTGAGAAATGTACATACATTCTTACAAATTTATCATGGTCTTCTCAGCTCACTACAGCCTTGAGGATGACTGAAAATTTTAGCTATACTTCTTAACACCAAACACCATTCTACTCACAAAGTGTCTCTTTTTCACGCTTCAAGGCATGCAGGTAGCGCCTCCGCCTTTCCTTCAGTACATGTTGCAAACGACGGAATTGCTCTATATACAGAGACTGCAGTCGGATCAGTTTGTCCCTTGTCACTAACGTCACCTCCTCGGTTGTGTACACACCAGCATGTCTGCAAATAACAGTAACAATCTTTCACCTTCACAATGACTTGAAACCTCAGTAATGTAGTGAAGATCATATTCAATAATGATGAAGAAACAGTATTTTCTACACCTGGGACTCTCAGCCTTTAGAGAACTGCAGACCCCATTAATTAACACAGTACCTGCCTTAGGAACACCCTCCATCATATATCACAGTAACTTAAAACAGATTATTTCCTGAAACAGCATTAACCAGTTGATCTTTATAATGGTGAAGTGTTGTGTTCTCTTTGTGGTACAACATGAGTATGCAGACAAGCTTCAGTTTCAAAGGGTTAAGAAACATAACTGAGGAAGCTTTTCATTGTATACCTTCATTAAAACCGGCAGTCATAAAAAAATAACCATAAATTTGGTCATGTGTAAAATTAATGATGACCAAAGTTCATATATCTTACTTGAAGGGATCTTCCATGTGACTATCAACACTTTCAGCATCTGATGAGGCATTTTCTGCTGTTTCACCCTGTACAGTAACTTCTACATCACTGTCAGATTCACTGGCATAATCCAGGATTCGACTTGCTGCACTATTGACCTTAAGTGCATCCATGTCCACTGCAAAACCAAAGGGGATTATGTTGAATTATAGAACTTGACTCTAACACCTTCCTCACATGAACATCAGTTATAAATTACAGTGATAAACAAAAATGTTAATGAGGCCACATACTTCCCATACTGGTGTAGAATGTAGATGACAAGTGCTACAAATTAACCACATTAAATCATTTTAAACAGTAGTGTAGTGTAAGGTATCTATAAATTTTAAATGAAATTATAAAAATAAAAGAATGACTGGAATGGCACATGGTTATAGTATGATCCAAAGTTTTTGGAATGGTACATAACTTTAAGGTTGTGATATTTTATAATAATTAGTTACAAATTTAACTGTAATTATATAATTAGTTTATGCTACCCCTCTACAGCGCTGGACCTACTTATGGCAGAGCAGGTGCCTCCAAACTCTTCCCAGAGTTTGCTACTACTGTCTCAATCACAATATACCCATAGGAAGGGTATTGTATCTGTGACAAAATACTGATCCTTGAGATTGTGTTAATGCAGCATGGTGCAACTGGAAATCGGTAGGCCACATTCAGCCCAAGACCACTTATTACCAGGCACACAAAATGATTAATTAATCTGTTACTAGTTACTGCAACCTCATTTATTTTCTCTACTGTGAAATATAAGTAAGAAATCAAAATTCTTACCTCAACTGCTGCTTTATGTATAAGTTCCACACATGCTGTTTACGTTAAAACCCTATCATAAAATACGAGTTTTTCCAGTAAAAATTGTCAGATACAAGCTGCTTCAGTAGTGAATTTAAAATTATATGCTAAAGCTATAGCAATATGTGCAATTTTCAATGAACATATACTATGGCAATAATTAAAATTTGCCATTACTTTTCATAAATAGTCTCAGGAGAGGTTTCTTGGCCCTTGTGTCAAATAGGACAAATATTCTTGGCCTGAAGGAAGAAAAAGTTTGACCACCGTGTTAATGAATATGACAGGTAGTTCACAAAATGTTTATTCCCCACATAACAGGTTTATGGACTAAACTATTATTGTATGACTTACCATAAGGGTTGAGGGCCTTGGTGACAAAGTCCTGAGCATCCTCCTGTGTGTCACTTTCCTTCACATCCAGGCTGCTCTGACCAGTGTCCAGCTGACTACCTGCATTCCCATTCCCTGCTCCCATGAATCTTTTGCCATTGTCCACTGATTTCCTTGAACCACCACCTGTGCCAAAGTTATTCACAGTACAGGATGGAGTATGGCCTTCTCTTTACCAATTAATGTGCATTCCAATTTGTTTCTTTATTACTCAACTGCCTTGCTAACATTAGCACTTCTAAGAAATCCTGATTTTAGGTTTCTGGATCAGCCATAGCTCCTTATAATATAATATACTGTTTGCCTCACTTTAGTGGTTCTTGATCTAGGCATTACCCCCATTTAAGATCATATATGGAATCTTGACTGCACGTAAGTGTTCACATGAACACAGCAAGTGCAACCTGTCACTGCCACCAAAGAATCTGAAGCTGCAAGAAATACATCTAGTCTTTTCTTCCCTTGGTGACTGCTGAAGCCAATTCCTTTCCTGCCATCACTGCATGGCAAAACCACGTGGTCTGATGAGATGTTCTTTCATGCACTGAATGTGGAGTTGAAATACTGTGCTTGTGAACCCATCACAAACTTCATAAACATGTGAATTTTAGCATCAGTTGCACTTTCTTGTTTAAAATAGAAAACATGGAAACAAAATAAAAGGCATTTGTAAAACAGCGTACTTTGGACATGACCAACAAAACAGATATCTGTTTTGGGTTATTTAAATAAATAATATACTTGCTATGTATGTATGCATCTTTTTCTTATTACAGTTGCACTTTATTTGTTCCAACATACAGTCATATCATGCAAATCCTAAGTAAAGTAAAGTTTGTCCCACTATATGCCATGTAGGCGTTTGGGGTGAGTGGAGGTATAGCTCCTCTCTTCCTTGACCTCGGCACTAGATGGGGGTGAGTGGTCAGCATCACGCCCCGGCCGGCTTTACCCCCGGGAAAGGACCCCGGTACCCATTGTAGAGGAGGCTGGGTGGGCCCCAGAGCCGGTCTGGACGCAGAGGCTAGAGGAAAAATCCTCTGCCCCCGTCGGGGATCGAACCCCGGCCGTCCAGCCCGTAGCTAGTCACTATACTGACTGAGCTATCCCGGCTCATATCATGCAAATCCTACATTTTAAAAGTGTTTTTATAATCAAGGGAATCATTTTCTGTCACATTTTGATGCAACGCCTTGATTTAAGGTAAAAGATGCTTGTTCTCCACAAAAATCTCAATGGGGTTTCACTGTAATAAATAATCCATAATAAACTACACACAATATATATTAACAAAATTATGTCATACAAAAACTTAAACTTGTTATCTTGGAAACCTGTAAATATATATATATATCTTAATATTAATAATTTACAGCAGTGTAATGCTGCTCCAATGTATACCACTGGCCTTGGATATTGGTTTAAAAATGTAGAAATACAATTTTGAGACAAATGTACAATAATGAAGGAAAAATTACACTACAGCATACAAAACCACATTTTCATGCTCTAAACACTCTTTTAAAACACCTTCCTTGCTCTTTAAATAGATATTTATGATTTAATTGTTTCAAAAAATGTTCAGTCCAAAATAATATTTGCGATCTTATAATGTCAAATGCTTCAGCAGATTTCTCCATTCTGAGAACAGCATGTGTCTTGTGCCAAGTTTAATTAATACTATTCTTTCAGCAAAACTTAAGTTTTACCTCAAAACAACATTGTTTTTAAACACTATGGCAGCTTCATTTAGTTACATATGGTAAATAATTAGTGAAATTAAATACATTCAGGAGTTTTTACATGAAATACTGAGTAAGCGAAAAATGGCTGTCAAGACAACTTCAGGGTTTAAACACTGTTACTCTCAAGAAGCTATCGAGTGGTTGAATGTTTTGTATAGTGAGCATTATTTTGAAACATATGGTGACAGTTTTCAATTTAGAGCTGTTATAAGATTGTAGAAAAATGTTTTTAAATATATCATTTGTATCTGATTGGTCTGTTGGTAATTTTTTGAAATTTGTGTTCATCTATGTACACAATAAACTGACCCTCACAATGAGTTCAGATATTTACCTTAAAATTACACTATTTTAGCAAGGCACTAACAAATAATGTGCAGAATAAGCATTAAGTATACTTTTCCATTACAATAATATTTTGATAGCAATAGTCATTTTCATATCACAGAACTTCTGTATTACTAAATTTTGTTAACAGAGAGCAATGAAGGTGATCAGAGACTGGTGCCTGTAAGAATGTAAGAATGTTAAAACAGCATACAAAATATCATGCATAACTGTACTATACCAGATGCTACAGCTCCAGAGTTGTATTCTGTCTTGCTGTAGTGTGAGAGGCTAAGAAGAAGAGACTCAGAACTTGGTGGTGGTATATGTCTCCGTGATGATTTCTGCCTAGCTAGTTGTGCTTTACGAGCATGTTCTGCACAGAATCTGTAAATATTATTTATATATTTAATTATGGTTTATTTAATGATGTTATCAATACCTCACATTATTCAGCATCAACTGATAAGATGATTAGTAAATAATGAACTGAAAAGAACACTGAAGGAAATGGTCATCATCATGACATACATTCCCCTGCTTCGAGTGTCTCTCTTTCCACAACACAGACAACTATGAATTCTAGCAATTATTTTATAATTGATTTTCAACATGTACCAACTTATCCATGATTCTTAACAAGTTAGTTCACAGTAATCTACAAACTGCATCAGAAGTTAGGTTGCTAGTGGCATCACAGTACCTAATATTAAAACACTTTTGTACCGAAAAGTACTAACTATGTGTAGTAAGTGACGGGTTTGCACTAGCAAACTTAAATTGTTACTGTTGTTGCTTCCACAAATGGAAAACTGCTAGCAATGTGTCATGTTGTATTGTACTGAGAATAACTGAAAAGAAAATGAGCAAACAAAAAAATTCTAGGTGATCTTTATATGTGAAATAATTAATTTTAACAATGAAAATAACCAGTGCTAGAAAGACTTAACTCTGAAAGGACACCTTGTTGTTACTTCCTGTTCCATAAGTACATACCCAGATTCTCGTTTGTCTCCCTTTGGGGTAGGCATAATGCATCGGCGCCCATTGCCTGAATATACATAGCCACAGAGCCGATATGGGGCAGTCTTGTCTTCCAGGATGTGCCTGACACAATAGTCATAGCCTTCTACACGCTGCCCACTGCACTCATGTGCCAGGTAATTGCATGCAGGCCTGCTTCTGATGGTGCTACTGTTTTTTAGTGAATGAAACATGTTCCCTGTTACCTGAAAGAAAAAGTTATGAACCTTGCAAAATAACCTACCTTATCCATACCTCAAAACTTGTCTCATAATAAGCAAATTAACTACAAGGAATGAATTCAGAATTTAAACTCATTACTTGATATACATATAAAAATTCTTGGAGAAATAGTCTGTAAAATGTCAGGTTCATGATAAAATCTAATGGTAGTTCTGTAAACACAGTGACAACCATAAGGTTCTGTAACACAAAATATCTTGTGCACATAGCTGTTCAAGAAAGACATTATATCATGGAGCTATCAAAATAAAATTTCATGTTAACTCATCCCTGCAGAACTTGAGACTAGGTTTAAAAACCCTACACAAAGTAGGTACTATTATTATGTTTCTAATGATGGATTATGTCGTTCGGCTCTCACTGACAAACAGCATGCCTTGTAGTCAATCAACAACAAGAATGCAATTACAGTTTGTGATATATATATCTTTGACATATTTTGACTTAAAACTAAAGTTATCTTCATGCTACGCAAAAACATTCTGTTTAAAGATAAAGAAACCAACAAATAACAAGATTCCTCAAGTCATGCTGCAATTATTTTATAATCTATAAATTTCTAAGTTTTCAACTACTTAGCAAAATTCTACCTAACACACTTTATTATTTTTTTGGGGGGGGGCCAAAATCTGAAAATAGAAGAAACATTTGGTTATATTCCAATAGTGCAATGACAAGTCATAAACAAAACATGGTTTTGGTGGTATACTGAAATGAATTGGGGGGGGGGGGGGTTTACATTATAAGCGGTGGTGGACTCTGACCACCTGGCCCTGATGCCAGGAAATCGAAAAATGTCAGACACATCTGAAGGTTTCTGTCTTCGAGAGCCCTTTCATTTGGCTACCAAAGGAAATGTATGAACACCTAGAAGAAATTTCATAATTAACATCATAAAGAAAGGCCTTCTGATCAATGACACACATACTAATTTGTGAAAACATAATTAATTAAAAGTACATTTCTTTAACCACTTTCATATTCTTTATATTATGGAGGTCAATAACATACAGATAACCGTCTTCAGCGATGTTGGACCGTGTAGTATTGTACTTTACCAAAGTTTCATCGCCCTGATGATGGAGGCAGCAACTGCATGTGAAACAATGGCAAACTACACGGCGCAACATCATGGAAGATTATCATCTTCATAACCACCGCCGTGAGAACCTTGTATCTCACCATTGATTCATTTCGTGAGAACTCCGCCATTTCGTACGCCCAGATTTCAATAAGAACAAAATTTGTGGAAAGCTGTAATTTCTTCAGCTATGCAAAGCAATGTCCTTACATGCACATGTACGAAATCAAATACCTACGAGGTCGTCTGCCAACCTCTACTATGAAAAATGCGAGTTTTTTTTCCAATAAACCATCGGGAAAACTCACACTACACAAAATATGGCGTTCATACACTTGCGCAACTGTATGAGCACTTAAATTCATATTACGTATCCACAAATAATTGTAAAAATTTGCGTATTACTATCATTCTAAAATAATTCTCATATATTAATAGCAATAAATCTATTTCATTATTGACCACATTGTTTGTTGTACCAAAAATTCCATACCATCAACCAATCAAATCCGCTACTCAGCTACTTCCTGAACCATAGACTTAAACTACTGTGAATGTTCTAACGGAGAGAGTATAAATGGCGGCGGACGAGAAGTGGTATTTTACTAAAGATCAACTTGCAAATACACCAAGCAGAAAATGCGGATACGAAACAGATAAGGAGTTATCATATAGACAACAAGCTGCGAATTTTATACAAGACATGGGACAGAGATTACAAGTGTATCCTTTCCCAAGAAAAAATGTGATGCTAGTGTAAGGTGATTGTGAGAAGTGTTGTTTCTGAAAGTATATAGAAGTTTTCTTGTGAAGAACGTGTGCTGTACAATATTATTACCTGTTTCGAAGTTTTAGAAGCATTGCAACTGGTCGGTGCTTGTATTTGTAGTTTGCTTGGAACGGAAACTTCTAAGAAAATGAGTCATACATGGCACGCTGTTCTATGTATTTCACGCAACGCCATATTGATCATGTGATTTTAGCAATAGTAAACATTACGGTAATACCATCAACAATTTTCAGTACTTTCAGATTCATTAGTCAGGTGGTAAATATTGTTGGCCGTCCGTTAGAAAGTTTTATAGCTGCCATGCATTCGTGGAATAACGTATTATTCAGTGCCATCATAAATTGTATTCCTCTTTTGTTTACTTGCAGTCTAGGTTTCCATAACCTCGACTGTTAAATGTGTTTGCGTAGACTAGAATTTATTTACATTCTATAGATCCTTCGTAGGCCTAAGCCAAGGATGTAGAACAGATCATAGCACAAATGCAATACTTGTTTCTAGTACAAATATAAATGCATAGTTATAACAACTATTTAGAGATTTTTGGAATTACAGTATTACAGCAAAATAATTATGATGGGAAACCGTCACCATTGTTATTTACATGTATTTATAAATTCTTCTACTGAGTAGGAGTGAGATAAGAGATACTTTTTTAACACTGGCTTAAACATTTTTATATCGTGATTTAAACTTTTGATAGTGGTGGAAGATTATTGAGTAATTTAATTCCAGTATAGTAAACTCCTTTTTGATTAAAATAATTATTATATTTGTTTACCGTCAAATCACAATAAAATAGTAAGATAAGATAATTAAAATGATTAAAATATCATCTTATGTTCCATATCAAGCATTCGATTTACATCGGAATGTTCCGATGTAAATCCGATGTATATCACAATATGATGCAACTATACTATCTCCTTTTTGATATTTACTGAAGTTAGAATTTGGCACATGAAGGTTGTATCTGTATCTTGTTCCTATATTGTGGATGTCTGAATTTGTTTGAAATTTTTCCATGTTATCCACTCTAAATGATAATAGTGAGAGCAAGAATTCACTGGATAGTGGGTAGTGGAAGAATATTAAACTTCTTAATTAATTCAATACAAGAGGCTCTCCTTTTAGTGCCTGCCATTATTCTAATGATCCTCTTTTGAATATAAAATACATTTTTGCTGTCCGTTGAATTTCCCCAGAAAATTATTCCATATGACAAGATGGAATGGAAGTAAGCAAAGTAGAGTAATTTTAAAGTTTCTGTTTTCATGAGTGAAATGACAGTTATCATAGAAAAGCATGTTCTCCAATTTAGGTTATTATAAATTTGTAGGCCAACAAATTTAGTTTTTCCATTTCTTCAGGTTTTTTTATCCTCATACCCTATATCTAGATTGACACAAGTTTTGTTGTTGGTACAAAATTTTATGAAATTTGTTTTGTTAAAGTTTAATGGCTTTAATCCATTTGATCAAGTTAGCAAAGACTTGATTTATGCAATTTGGGAAATGGTCAATTTTTTAATATGAAATATAGTATTACTATCATCAGGGGACATATGATTAATTTATAGGAGTCTGTATGCGATAATATTGTTGATGACATGACTGTAAACAATTATTTGTTACAATGACGTAGCTGTTTACATTAACCTAAATTAATCAATGTAAAGCATTTTAAAGAAACATGCTGCTTGAAGTTGTCTCATCAATACAAGTGAAGTGACTTCTCACAGTAAAATGCTACATAAAACTCAACCCCTTTGCAGTTCCAACATGATATTTGAAGGTGATTTAAATCATAGTTATATAATAAATATATTTCTTCAAAACACAGGGCTGAGAAATACAAGGTCAAAGGCCAAATTTGAATACCTTGAAAACATAACTGCTGAATATATTGGTGTAATGGATCATTGGAAAGGATATTTTATTAGTTTCAAGATATTTTACAACTTTGGATGTCTCTTAAAAATCTAGTGGGCATAAAGCAGTGGAGTTTGGCAGGAATACTTCCCTCCATTGGGTCTACAATCTCACAAAATATTATTAAATGCAGAGGGTGTCAGGTTGGAACTATCTGTTGTGTGTGTTAATTTGATGTGGAATGAACCCTTACGCTTTTTTTTGCCACTGTCAGAGAATACATTAATTAGTCACTTGTTCTATAGGATTAATTTGTGTTGTTCTCCTTAACTTTATTATTCAGTACACAACTGTGTATTAACACAGCAATAGTGTATATGCATCGTTTCTACGTGTTCCACTCTTTCACCCAATTCCACCGAAACGCGATGGCTGCTGCGGCCCTCTTCCTAGCTGCTAAAGTAGAAGAGCAACCAAGGAAGTTGGAACATGTCATTAAGGTGGCACATATGTGTCTCAACAGAGACCAGCCTCCACTCGACACAAAATCAGAGGTTAGTGAATTGTTGTGTTGTGTAGCATGCATTACAATTTTTTTTTGTGGGAAGTTGATTTGAAGAGCTACTTTAGAATTTGGTTTTATTAATTTATAAATTATTTAACAGAAGTGTTTCAGCTTTATTGGTTTGCAGTAAGATAACTAGAAAGGGTTAGAGATAGATCATTCATGGCCTGTCTGACGGTACTGACAGACATTTGCATGCAAAGGATACCACAAAGGACATTGTGCCTGGCAGAGATTCTGAGCAAACCTTGGTGGGCTTCTTGTATGTGGTGAATTTTCTGTTTTTTTAACAACAAATTTCCATGAATCCCTCCATCACAGCTTACTGTTGAGGAAAGCCCCTTATGCCATAAGAAATGCTATAGTAGCACTATGTTAAATAAGTAAAAAAGAGGCTACAGTACCATCCATAAGTCATGTCATCATATATGGTGTAAGTGAATAATAAATTAGTCATTTAAGAGCATCTCAAATTCATTGGTATTAGTAATAACATAAGGTAAAGTTCCTTTTAAAAAGTGACTAACAACATACAATTACTCAAGAATCTAGTGGCCAGATGTAAAACAGTATAGAGAATAAAACACCAATTCCATTACATTTTAATACATGAAAATTTTCTTATTATTGCAAAGCAATATTACAGTGAAATTTATGTAATTTTTAATTTTAGGTTAAATATTTTAGTGGTGGTATTCTAGGCTGTTGTGCCATATATTATTTTGTATGCTACCATTTTGAACATATACCATCTACATTCACATCACTGTGAAAACCTCAAATTCTAGTTCATTTAATTCATACGTGCATAGGCAATACTAGAAATACAGTTAGATCTGAATGTAGCAACCCTCACATTGCACCCGCAAAAGTCTTGGAATCGAAATTCTCAATGCTATTTCAAAGGGGATAACCTCAGTAAAATACCACTCTCACTACCCACCATCCACCAACACAAATGTAAACGGTAATATAACTATACGATTAAGAATTATAATCTAGTCCAATACAGCACCACGCCATTTTGTTTCCACCAGCTATACTGACAATTCCCTGGGATAATCAGTTGTAGAAACACCATATACCAACAGTTTTTTGTTAAAAATTAAACATGATCAGTTAAGAAACTGTCTATATCAACTCTGGTAGGGAGTTGGGTTGTTTCTTGGAGTCAACATTGTAATTGGTGACATTCTTATTCAGGCAGTTATAGTAAATTAACCTGCTACCAATAAAAGTGCCAATATGAAACTTACCTATAGCAAGTTGTTTACAGTTAGCAGGTTAAAATCCAGGAATCCTTGTAGATCAGTTACAGAGCCTTCCAATTTTACTGTTTGACAGGGCTAGAGGACTTCTGTATGAAAGTGTTTTCTGAACATTTTCTTTGAATAACCAATGTAAAGTATGCAGACACACTTCAGTGTGATTACTGTTAACAGAGTAAGGAACTTAATTACATACAGATACAGGTGCATATAATCATAATCATTTGTACTTGTGTGACAAGGGGAAAGGGAAGTTGATGCTAAGTGTTGGTAAAAGAAGATGTACCTGCAGAGAACAGTATCACGGTGCAAGCCAGAAAAAAATATTACCAAATATTTTTCTTGTTTATGGGGGTGAACCCGGTGTTGTGTTGGAAAGGAATGTAAAGAAAAAGGGATGAATGAAATGGTGAAGGATGAAAACATGAAGACTTTGAGGATGCATTAGTGATTAAGTTGGATATTGCAAGTGAATGAAAGAAATGGAATAAAACTGATGAAATTATTAAGGAACAAGTGAAAGTACTTGGGCTGCGGATGAGTGTGACATGTTTTGTACATTGAAATTGGTATGTATTTTGCTCCAAAAATGAACTTATGGTAAAGGTTAATGTTGTATAAGATGGTTCTATTATAGAAATTGTTGAGTTCATGCACATGCTCTGCAGTTTTGTCTTTTCTTTAACTGTCAGATCCTAACTACATTATTCCACACATCATGTGGCACTTTAATACAGTAATAAATAAATACCCAATTTCAGTTTATAGCTACTCCCACTTGAATGCCATTATTGGTAGTGGACAAATGTGACACTGATAAAAAATTCAGTGGTTTTTTGTTGGCACTTTTGGTTTTAACAGACAAATTCTGTTAAAACCAGACATGTCTACTAATGTCTAAAAAATTTTGACCGTACCAAGAACTGTCCATTAAATCGAGGGTTTACTGTGCAATGAAGCCCCTTTCTTAAACTCAAACTGCAGCCTTTGCAGAGTCTTTAGTTTGCCATGAGTCTGGGTCATGTATGGTGGGTAAACTTTCTGAGTAACGGAGCAGGAGAAACCAAGTATTTGCTGTTCACTTTTCTCCTACCTTATGTTAAAATACATTCTTGAAGTGTCATTTTTCTGTGCGGGTCACATATGTTGTGAAAACGTTTCTAGACACAGCAAAATAGTTGAAATAACAGAAACTTTGTTCCATATATTATATTTTAGTTGTTGTGATGGAAGATTATTCACATACATTTTATCTTTTAGTGTGGTGCTTGAATGACAGTCACAGGGATTCAAAGTGCATGAATGGCTGTGATATTTTTAACAGGATTTATGTTATCTCAAATTACCTTAGTAATAAGATCCTGAAATATTGACATGAAGTCACTGGACATTCTGTATATGCCAGATTCAGAAGCCAAACATTGTCCTACTAATATTAGTAACTACATGATAATAAACACAAATTCAGATTTTTTTTTTTAACTTTTATTGTATGGTGAAAGGTGATTTAAACCTGTGTACTTTGGTGCTGCTGGTCAGACTTTAGCTCCACGGTTAATGGCTTAACAGTATGCTAGTGTTACATAAAGCTGGACTGCAGTCTCCAAATTTTTGCTGTATTCCCTGTGTCATTCTCGTGATACTAAATTTAGTCTGTTTGTCCCAGTAATGTGAGGGATGGGTATGGTTGTTTGTGTTATCCATGTTACACATTATCATTTATAAAACACTAGTGTTTTGACAGACAGTGTTATGCAGATCATCACTTCATTTATTATCTGTCTTGGCAACATGCTTCTTTACACAAATGTGCTGTTACAAGCTTTAATCATCATAAACTATAAAATTAAGGTGTGCTCCTGAAGAATTCACATAGGCATTGTTTAAACTTGATTAACATGTGATATTTCTCAGAGTGGATCATTGTATCCTACACAGTGTTCTTATTATGAAAAGTCTGTTGCATGAAGGTTGTTTATGTGCTGTCGTGAAGATTCTGGTGTAGTGAGTCAATCATTATACTGATATTTGACTTTGCCAATAAGAAATGTAGGAAGTGCAGAAGCTTTCCAGAACTTTCCTTCTCTCTAACAGTCACTGATGTATACTCATTGCAATCTAAAAACTCATAAAATGTCTCAGAACCTGTTACTGAAATTATATATATTGTCATACAGAAATACCTGGAGCAAGCACAGGACCTGGTGTTCAACGAGAATGTGTTGCTACAGACGTTGGGCTTTGATGTGGCGATTGACCATCCACACACACATGTTGTACGCTGTTGCCATCTAGTTAGAGGTAAGTGCCTTGCTGTCATTGCATCAGGAAGAGGTAAGTGCAGGCAGCAGAGGTACATTTATCAAGGCTACTTGTGAAAAACGTAATCAGACTGTAGCTGTTGTGAACACTTATAATGTGGAATTTTATACCAGAACTGTGTGTTTGTGTGTGTATAATATCTTTGACATGTACAAACCCCTGTGTATAGTTCCAAGAATTATCACACACTGCACAATTTTTGTATGGTGGTAATTACTAGGATAACCACAGGTGATGGGGGTATGCTATATATAATGGTTCTTTCTGATCTCCATATTTGCTTTATTAACACCACCACCAACAACATCCATGGATGTTTTCTACCTTTCTACTATATGTACACTGGGTGTGGAGTGGGCATGAACAACTACTCTGCACTCTTTCACAAAACATGCCTCCACCTCATTGACAATATTGTCGCCCTTGGTGGACTAGTGGTTAGCATGCTTGCCACTGGGCCCAAGGTTTGCGGGTTCAAACCCGGCCAAGGTCGATGGATTTTTAAGGGTGATAAAAATTCGTAGCACAACTTCTTTCGGAGGGGAAGTAAAGCCGGCATTCCCATGTCGTAGATTTACCATGTAAAAGAACCTTACAAGCATGATACGAGATGTTTTGTCAGCAAAATTTCAGCAGCAATTTCTCACCCAAGTCTCCTGATTCACTACTAGATGACAGCTGAATCAGGTTTGAGTATAAATTGTGTAGAGTTACTACTCTCACTAACACCGGAACAGTTTACTGTACTGCTGAAGTGAAGTGTGTGCACAGTAAGATTATCCCCCCCCCCCCTTCTTCCACTTCCATGTCCCAGCCGATTTCTTTTGGCATGCAGACAGTAAATTGTCTCTTTGAAGGCTATTTTCTCTCTTTAACATAAGCGTACTCTTCTCCAAGCTTATATTCAGTATAAAGTTTCTCATTGTCTGAAGCTTTTTTGGTCATACTGTTATTAATCATTTGAAATTGAAGCTCATAGTATTTAGGAATTCAATTCATACCACAGAAAAAGGCACCTCACTTTAATAAGGCACATTTACAGAGAAAGGCACCTCACTTTAATAAGGCACATACTTTAATTTGTTAGTGCTGAAAGAGATGAGCAGCAGAAACAAAATTTTAGGTTCAGCACGTGAAGGGAAGCGATTGCTCGGGTTCCATGAAAGGCATGGAATTTCTTGGCTAGCTAGGCTGCTGTTAACTATTCAAGAAAAACTCCATAGAGTTAGTTGATATATAGCTTTTACTTGTATCATGAATTGGCATGTTATAAGACTGTTTTTTGTATAATTAGGCTGTAAAAGTCATAGTTGCCTTGTTTCTTCTCCCACTCTATAGTGTCACATTCCTGCATGTCCAAATATTATCTGTGTATGGATACCAGAATTTTGCTTAAGACTGTTCAGTTATAATACTAATTTTCTGTGCATTGTTATTTTGACTGTGCTTATTTTAAATTTCGTAATAATTGTCTTTGAGTCTCATTTCAGTTATCAGCCTTAGTGCAAATATAAGTGGTTATAATGAATGATGGAATAAGGTGGTGTAAAGTTAACAATAGGTCATGACAGAGTTCTGATGCAAATTGTAAAATTGATAGACATGAGTCAGAAAAAATTAACAGTTATGCCACTAGTAGGAAATTGGTTTAACTGAATGTAATATTAGGTGGTGACAGAAAGAGGAGAAATTAATTTTTCTTAATGCACATTTTACAAGATGGTTTTATGGACCTAAAAAGAGCCGTGAAGAATTTGCATCATTCAGATTATTAAAGAGATGCATGACGAAGGATTTCCAGTAATGAGAAAAGTTATCAAGTTTGAAGGCAAAAGACTTTGTGAAGTGACGTACAAGTCTGGCACAAATTCAATCTGAAGATTACAATGAAATGCTGGTGGTCCAAAAGGTGTCTTAAGATTAGAATGAACAAGTTTGAAAATGTATATAGTATAACAATTCTTGGTGTTTTCCCAGAATTTGACCATCTACATTTGTGACTGGATGGAGAATTTCCCGAGTGGGGATTCTCTACCCAGCCACTTTCATGTGAAGAAATGCTTGTAGGTCTTCATGTGAAATGCCTGGTATTGTTGCCCAGTTTGAGCTAACACTGGAGTATATTGACAAATTTTAGAAACAACTTTCCACTGTTGAATTTTGTGAAAACCTTCAGTGGCCTTGAGTAGTTACATGTGGACAGATAGATGGACATGGCGAAGCTGATTGGTGCATTTTTGCAACAATGAGTTGCAAAAATGTGTAATAACTTATTTTCTTTCAATGCCATAATATACTCTTGAGGAAAAACCACTGATTTCTTCTTGGTGTGGATCATACAAATCAAACGAGTGTTTTTTGACATTTTTGTAAGTGTTACTGTTCAGAATAAAGGAAAAGTATGCCACTGGAAATGAAAAATTCAGGTTTACAGTTATGATGATGTCATTTTAAAGGGAAGGGCGGCTCGTACTTGAGTTCACCTTCTGGATAGATACTGCAAGTGCGTGAAAAGGGTTGACTGGAGGAAAAAATTGTTTTGGATTGGCTTAAAGTTGTTTGGGAAGAAAGCCAGAGCTGTAAAAAAGAGATTGACGCTTGTATGTGATGCATCTGGAGATGTCTAACTGAAAATTTAAAAAATGTGATTCAGAAATTGACTCCATATTTGGTGTTTATACCTGAAGGTATGACCAACCAGTTACAAGTTATAGATTTTGTGGTGAATAAGTCTTTTAAAGACAGTTTAAGAAAGAAATGCAAAATGGTTTTTGAAAATGTGGCCACATTCTTGCCCCCTAAAGGTATGAAAGAAGACCATCAATCCTTGTGTGTAGTTGGGGTTTGATATCCAGAGAAACTTTGTTCATGGACTGAAAAAATTGTAGCTTTTTAAATGCAATGAATGGTATGCGAAAGGTGGTAGTCCACACCTGAAGAAGAAATGCAGGAAATATCAATAGTGAATATGATGCTGTGTGAATGAACATTAAAATTCTGCTTACCTGGATTGTCTACCAAAGTGCATGCAATGTTATGGTACGTGTATGAATTTATTGTGAAATGGATCAGTCGCATATTTGCTGTTAAAATCTTACGAACTTAGTTTCTTTCTTTTGTGTGGTGTCTGAAAGTGGGGGAACAGTGTATTAGAAATTGTCCTATAATCAGGCCAATATGACAGTTAATCTTTCCATTCTGTATGGGTGACTTGTCTTACAGATGTTATGTTATATCTACTTACTAATACATATATCCCTTCAATGCCTTTAACATCAAATTTAGTTCTATTTGATGCATATATACTGGCCATTTTGTAAGAATTAGCAGTTATTCTGTATTTTCTGAGGTTACATTTTTTTGTCAAGGTTTTCCCATATTTTCTTATGGGTAAATTATTGTTACAGTAGTACATTTTTTAATCTTCACCCAGTTAGATCTGTTGATTCTATGTGAGATACTAATTTCTTCTGACTGCATTTCACCAATGACTGTATTCAGGCATTGCCAGTATCATCAGTACAACATTGCTGCAATACACCTTTGTTGTTGAGTCTTCATGCTGAAGTACAATACCATAAGGTAGCCATTCAAGACATGTATGAATGTGTTGATAACGTTACAATGCTTAGTACTGGGATTGTTCGTTGATGGCCTGTTGGCTGTGGCCTGCGTATTTTCTCATGTAATTTTTGCCCACAAACTTCTGGATTAGTGGTTCACCCTCAGTTTTTATACCATCATTTTAATAAGCCATTAAATATGTATTTCTTTTTACATAGGGGGAAACATACAAATTATTGCAGTTTTAAATATCAAAATTGTGTCAGGATATTATGTTATAAAGCAGAGAATACCATACTTTCTGAAATATAAGTTGCAATTTCTCCCCTGCTGTTTTGTTACCTGAAACTGATAAAACTGTGTACTTTTGAAACAATACAATTTTCACTGTTCAAGAATCAAGGCAGTTTGTTAGAAAAAGAAAGAAATGTTATTAGTTTGGTGAATATAATGTTGTTAAAGTGATGTAATGTTGATAACATTAGAACTTCCTGATCGTCTGCTTAAATTCATGTACTAAAAATACCGTGTAGGTTTTATGCTTTCAGTTTTTTATAGATTTTGCAGTATGGGCTGTTTGTTTTCTGTGTAACATTTCAAGTTTGAGAACACTACACAGTTATAATACTGATGTTGCAAACTGAGGCATGCACATGTTATTGTATGACATTGCAGTAGGATTATTTATGATGAAATACAATTTTCTGTGTTGAAGAATCAAAGCAGAATGTCAGAAGATAAATGTTATTAGTTGGGTAAATGTACTGTTGTTAACATGACTGTGTGGAACATATCAGAGCTCTCCGATCATCTGCTTAAATTCATATACTAAAAATATCTCATAGTTTTTATGCAGTTAGTGTTAGATTTAGTAGTATGGGGTATTTGTTTCATGTGTGCTATTTTAAGGTTGATAACACTACGCAATAATACTGATGTTGCAAGCTGAGGCATACATGTTATTGTATGACGTTACAATAAGATTATTTACTTATGGCCCAATACAATTTTCAGTGTTAAATAATGTAGCCAGGTTGTCAAAGGTGGAAAGACATGTTAATATTTTGGTGAATTAACAGTTATTAACATTACATAATGTAGAACATGTGGGAGCTTTCTTTGCTAGATTTAAAAATAATATATACATCAATTGATGCTGAATTGCAGAATGAACCGTCAGTTATGTTGAATTATGCAGAATGATTAATTGTACATCTGTTAAGCTATTATTGCCTTGGAAAATGTACAGTATAATTCGTTTTTGAATAAAGTAATATTTAGTTATTATTCCCTCTCTCTGTTTCTAAGTTTCTGATTTTTTGAGCATGTCTTAGATGTGAGGTAACCTTATGTTATGTAAATATGGTATTTTTAAAACAAAAGATGAAGTTAGTTACCCAACGACTGTCTGTAAG